AGAAGAGGAAGTTTATTACCTTAAAGGAAATTCTGTTTACAGCTAGATTACTCTTGACAGTTCAATTTACAAAAACAAGTTTTAGAACTACAATGCTTCCACTGAATTAGTTGGAAAATACTATATAAAAATAACTGATATGTTTACAGAATGTGGTCTTAGTCCCCCTAAACATAACATTTTCTATCAAAAGGAATACCATTGATGCCAGACTCAAAGACCAATGAGAATTTAAACTAGAGAAATTGGATTTCTAGAGTAAGCATTTGATAATTATTTGATTTTTACCAATGTATTATAGAATTTCACAACTACAAACCCTTTCACATCCAGAGTTTATCTGACTTACATATTTTGCACCACATTAACCACTTGAAATTTTCTGATAACAGTTTGTGCGCACATGGATGTTTTCAGATGTTTCTGAATATGTTCACTTAATCAAACCAATGTTAATCAGAAGCTAACAGCAGTGCATGTTCTTAGTAAGACACGCAGGAAGTTATGTTACCCAAGCACCACATAACTCCACTGAGCGATACATTTTTAGAGTATCACAACCCAAAGATCATTATTAAAAGGAAATCGATCTATTTAAATAATCTGAACTACTAATAGGAGTCATTCAGAATGCCTGACTGGCCTAGGCACAGTATAGAAAATAGTTTTGGTTTCAAGACGTTGAAGGTAGCAGGGTGGTGTTGCTTTTCTTTTGCTTTAAAGCAAATAAGTACGCTCTCTTCACATGGTTATGGAAAATAATAAACAGCGATCACACTGCTTAGGCTTGAATTATTTGGGTGAGAAATCAAATCAAAAAAAACAAACTTGCAACAACAGAAATCAACCAAGGGATCCTAAGCATTCAAGCAGAGCTGGAAACAGCCTCTCCCAGGGCTCAGGACACGCGCCCCGTCCCCTGCCCTGCAGGAGCTTCTCCTCCTCCTGACAGGCGAGCACGTCCCGCTCATGGCTCAGCCCCTTGCCGGTGTCCCCGCTCCCCACGCACCTCCCCACACGGTCACGGCACCCCGTCACAACAGCTCAGCAGTTCCAGGCGGCATCACCGCCCGGTACGAACAGGAAAACGGGCTGACGTGCGGAGCACCAGCCGTCTCCCCTCCAAACCCCTGGCCCACGGTAATCCCGGCGGCTCGGCGTGGGGAAGCGCCAGGAGACCCTCAGCCCCTCCCCAGGGACGCAGCTCCGGGGCCTCCATGAGGGGAGGGCGGCGGCGCAGCTTGCGGCCCCCCCAGCAGCGCCCGCCGCGGTCCTGGGGCACGGCGGGGGCCGCTCGCCGCCCTTGCCCCGCCCGGGTCCCGCTCCCCGCCGCGCCCCGACCCTTATTCCCCGCGGGCCGAGCCCCTCCCGGCACAGGGCCTGTAACCCAGCGCCAATTCCAGCCCGGCTGCACCCGGCCACAATGCAGCCCCGCTGCCGCTCCCCGCGCCCGCCCGGCCGCCGGTGCGGAGGGCCGCGCGTCCCCGGCAGCCCCGGTACCTGCTGGCTGAGGGGGATGAGCGCCGCCATCTTCCTCCCGCTGGGTCGGGCCGCGGCCGGGGCGGAGCGAGGGGCGGGAGGCGGCGGCCGGGCCGGGCCGGGCGGGCCCGAGGAGGCGGTGGCGGCGGCTGAGGAGGTGCTCGAGACCCAGCGGCCGCGGCTTTATCGGGGCCCGGCAGGCGCTCCTCGGCGGCGGTTACTGCGGTCCACGGAGTCACCCAATCCTTTAGAACGGAAGAGACTTCCCAGGTCATTGAGCCCAGCCTTTGACAGATCACCGCCTTGTCCACTGTCGCTCCTTAAACACCTGCAGGGACAGGGACTTCGCCACCCTGCCCGGCTCCCTGGGCAGCCACATAACCCCAAAGCGAGCGAGGTTTGAATGGAGCTCAGTGGGCCGCGAGTCCCACGTCCCTGCTCCAGCAGGGCCATCCCAGAGCACACGGCACAGGATTGTGTCCACACAGTTCTGGATTATCTCCAGTGAGGGATTGCAGTCTGTTGCAGTGCTCCGTCAGTGTGCAGCAAAGTTTTTCTCATATTCAGGTGGAATTTCTTGTCATCAGTTTCTGCCTGCTGCTTCTTGTCCCATTGCTGGGTTCCCTGGTCCATGTTCTGACCCTTCCCTGCAGACACTGACAGACAGGGTTCCTCTCTATAATATATATTATAAATATCATCCCCCATTGCTCTGTCCCTTCCTGAGTCGTCTTTGCTTTCTAATTTTTTTCTTAAATTTCTTAATTTTTTTCTTATTGCTCAAAGTATTTTTCCACCGTAGTCCTTCCTCCTGCTATTCCTCAGCCTATTTTACATTCATTTTCTTTTCAGGACCATGAGATTCTAATTTCATTTGTATGCACCAAAAGTTTCTCAATCAGATTAGACAAGAAATCTTTAAAATGGGGAAATAAAGAATGAAAACATCCATGGGAATTTCATGTTCATTTCTCCCCATGTTCTATCTCCAAAATCTTTTGCATAAACCTCAGCATCTGTTATTGAGAAATTGTAAAAAAATTGTGCGTTCCTCCTTCATTTTGGAAGGAAAACAGAAAAAAATATCCCAGGAAGTCTGTTTTCTTAAGAGGCCTTGGATTACCTATCCAATTTGGTTTCCATTTCCCCTAGGATGAACTGCATGTTTGGAATACAGTCAGGCAAAGAAAGGGGCTCAAGGTGTTCCCCTAGCTAGGAGAAGGAAATTATTTATAAACTGTATAGAGGAATCTCGACTGCAGTATAATACCATTCTGCATTATTGTTATTCTTCATCCCAAAATTCAGGTCCTCAGCACTAGTTCCACCATGGGTTCAGGTTCATCCCAATCCTTTAAAAGACACAGGAAAATTAAGAAAGCAAAACCAGTGCACAATTCAACTATATTTAAGAGAAATTAAATAATCCACTAATACAGAATAAGGAGAGCAATTTACCTCATGTCTGATTTAGATCATAAATTCATATTCAGTCATCCCAGTCTGTGGGCTTCTTTGATCATTAATTTTCCTCAGTGGTAAACAAACTAAATAATCTTGTGGGTTGCCAGATGCATTTTGTTATCAATTTTTATTTCATAAGTCTGATCTGGAATTTTAATCAAAGTATATAATTGGAGTATATAGCTGGGTATATCTGTCAGCCAGGGTTTTAGAGACAGCCAGGGAAAGTTTTTAAGAACCTTAAACTCAAGTCTTAGGAACTGGCTTACAGCAGAATGATATCACTAGAAAGCACTAGAAAAGTAACCCAGAAAAACAAAAAATTAGGCAAAATAAAAATGATCCATGGCATAAGCTCAGTAGCTATATAATTGTATTACAAGTATATAATGATGTTGGATACCTTATGCCAAATTTCACTGCGGCACGCAGAGCACAAGTTTCACCAAGTCCCTGGAAATGACACACAAGTACAAAGGGCAGGTAATAAACTACAATATGTTGTTTCAGTGAGGGGTCTTAACGCAAATCCTGCGGAACAACTGGATTCATTCCCAACTCGCTCCAATAATTAGCGAATCGCGGGTTTATAAAAATTCCCGTGTATTGACCCCGATGCATGCTGGGGCTTGTAGTCGGGGCGCGCTACCGGCGGCTGTAAACCTGCTTGTGATTAGCTGGCGGCGCCGAGCCGCCGCGCGGAGCCAATCAGTGGGCGGGATATTGGGGAGTCGCGGACTCCAGGAGCCGGCCGCGCACCGCCCGCCCTGGCCCGGCCCGGAGAAGCCTCGGCCGCTCGGGCTGGGCGGACCTGGCGGTGTTCTCTCCGACCCTGTTCCGCCCCATGCCGTCCGTCCTGTCCCGTCCCGGATGGCCGCGATCTCTCGGGCACCCGCGGGCCGAGGGCAGGTGAGGCACCGGCGCCCTGTCTCAGTCTGTAGCTGGGCAGCCTCAGCGCGGGCCGGTGTTCGCGTCTTGTGTGGGGAGGCATCTGTACGAGCCCCTTCCTATAGCTCCCTACAGGAGGGTGCAGCCAGGTAGTGCCCAGCTTTGCTCCAGGGAACCAGCGACAGGACGAGGGGACATTCTTAAGCTGCGACAGGGGTGGTTTAGGTTGGACATCAGAAAAGATTTCTTCACTGAAAGGGTGTTTGGACGTTGGAAGGGGCTGCCCGTGGAGTCACCATCCCTGGAGATGTTTAAGGAAAGTCTGCATGTGGCAGCACTCAGTGCTTTGGTCTGGTTAACCTGGGGGTCAGGATCAGTCGCAGGTTGGACTCGATGTTGTCAGGTCTTTCTAAGGTCGGTAACTCTGTGATTGTTGGCAGGGCCACAGCCATGTACCCCGCAGGACCAGCACCCGCGGTGACCTAACGCTGGTGGACACAGAGCTGGGGAGCGCTGGAAGAACTCCGTCCCTCCACGGCAGGTTCCTGAAGGCGTGCGGTGGAAACGCTGCTGGGATGCAGCCCTGCCCGAGGCCGGGAAGCACCGCGCGGGCAGGGAGCGGCCGTGCGGCCCTGAGCACTGCGGGCAGCGCCGCCCACACACGGCTGAACTCGGTCCTGAATAAAGTGGCACAACTAGAAAGCAAAATCATGGGTCAAAAAAAGCACCTGGAATTGCAGAACGCTGACTCGGGCCTGAAGCCTTTGTCTGAGGAGTGCAGCTCGTCCGCCTCTGGGCATGAAGGTGGTGCCAGGGGCAGGAGGTACTGGAAGAATTATGGTGGCACCAGTGGGAATGGGACCCGCAGGGATGCCTGTTCTGGGGAAGAGGAAAGCATGCAAAGCCCTAAAAGGAGTGTTATGGTTAAACAACAGCTTGATCTGGATAGTGATGAAGAGGAAATGAGAGAATTGATGGAGAGCTCTTTGGGGTTTTCCAGTGGAAGTGAGAATCAGAAGGTTCTGGTAAGTGATGCTCAGTAGGGTAGAAAGGTAAATAGAAACTTTGCTGGATTATGTATTTTTATTAATGCTTTCATATAATTGTTTTAACTGGTTGATTGCTTTTTATTTAGATAAAACTAGCAACTAGATTTTAAATTTGCATTTGTGTCTTGCTCATGATAGGATTCAGATTCACATCTTAACACCTTAAAATTACTCTATTTTACCCACAATGATTTGTTCTCCCTTTAGCAATCTACACATACCAATGAAGTAACACATAAATCTCTTTTTTGTGTTCTTCAAAAAGAGTAAGACTCCAGTTCCATCAGGAAAGGCTCCTCCACCTCGTAAGGAAGTTTCATCAGCAGAGTTATCTAAAACATCTTCTCACAACAAAGACTCAGAGAAGAGTGCATTTAGTAGAGTTAATTCACCAGCACCTTCACCCACCAGCAGAAAGCTGTCAGGACATACCACGAGATCTCGATTGCTGTCATCTTCCACGAAAGACAGCACTGTAAACCAAGCTCTGCCTCAAGCAGGCTACACCAAGCACATCCAAGAATCCCTTGAAAGTGACAGAAGTGAAATAAAGTCATTAGATGAATTATTTTCTGAAGGAGCTGATGCAGAAGATCCATCCAGCAGCAGTTTGAAATGTAAGTTTTCTAAAATATTTTCTCAGTAGACTCAGTATCAATTGTACTGATAATCTCCTGATCAATTCTATAAATAAACATGGGCAAATAGTCACTTTGAAAGGATTCACTGGTGAAATTTTACACAAACCAAGGCATGATCAAAGTAATTATCTTGATCTGTTTATTTTTTATCTAGTGTAATAGGTTTGTATTTTTTTTTAGCTTTTGACTTAATGGGTTCATATTAATGATGCTGCCCTGGGCGACATTATGATGTCAAAACAATGAGAACATTTAAAGTCGTTTTCCTCTATCAGTGGCACAATGTACCAATGGGTCAAAGTGAGAACAGCTGGAAATGAGGGGCAACAAAAATCTCTTGAACTTCAGGAATGTCAGCTGATCAAAGGAGGAAATTTTAGGAGTTCCTATGAAGTTAAAGAATCAGTGACTGATTGCTATTACTTTTTAGTACTGAACTAGGAAGGTAGTACTGATCTTTTTCCCCCATTTTTGTCACTTACAGGAAAGTGTACTGTAATTTTCATGCAAATTTTCATGTGGAGGTGTCATTTGTTTGCAGACTTTGGACTGAATATCATGAGCCTTGATGATTTGGCACCAGATACTACCAGTAAATCAGCAGAATTAAAGCAGACAGTAAGTAGAAATTCCCCACTAGCACATATTCCCAGTCTGCCTTTGGTGGTGTGTGGAGGTTCTAAAATAAATACTTTTACAGGGAAAAGACATTCAGTTTACTCAAGAATCAAACAAATATGTGAAAAAAAATACATTGCTGGTGGAAGAGGACCAGGCTGCTCTAAAAATGACCAGTGCAAAAACTGGTGTGAATGATTCTTCTGAAGAGGAAGTTGAAAAACGTGTCTCTGAAGCTGAAATCTCTGAACATTTAAGTGAAGCTTCCTCAGATTTTCCTCCACACAAACAGGATTATCCTAACCAGAACGAGAGTACCCTTAATTCAGAATATTCTGAAGACTTTGAAAGGTCTCTGTCTGCAGCAGACAGGGAGTCTGTAGAGGGCCATGCTGAGAGCTGCAGGTCTCCTGGAGCTCACCCCTGTTCAGAGCCATCCCTGCTGGTGCCCCCCGAGCAGCACAGCCGGGGGCACCGAGTGACCGTCACAGACACTGCAGTGCAGACAGCAGAGCCTCCCCTCACCTGCTGCTGGCCAAAGGGTGAGTGCAGCCTGTCAGCCTGTGCTGTGGCTTTAGGGCAGCTGCTGTCCCAAGAAACTGCACAGGAACCAAGCAGGAGCACTAAAGCTTTCCCCTGTCCCCACCAGTAATTCTGATGCTATCCCTGTGCACAGCAAACCCGGCGCTCGGCCCACCTGTGGGAACCACCTACATCGACCCAGTGCCAATTGCCAGTCACACCATCAGCATGGATGCAGTAGAAGGTACCAAAACCACATTTATTCTCCTTTTTCACTCTACTTTCTGCTCCTGGGTCCAGCTTGGTTTGCTCAGCCCTTGCTGTCCCTTTCTCACAGCCCTGACTGCGTACAGCCCCTCAGTTCTTGTCTTACACACCATGTGCAAGCAGCACCTGATGCTGACCCAGCAGTTTGTCCAGAACGTTCATCACCTTCACACAGCCCTCGTGGAGTCATTGGAGCATGAGAAGTTCCACTACCATACCCTGGAAGAGGCTAAAGAGGTATTTGTGACAAACCAGAGACTGAGTGTGTATTCCTTTCCAAACGCTTGTGGTATTTACAGCAAACCTGGTTTCTCTGCATACGAATAATTAATAAGTTTAAAAGGAAAAAAAAAAGACTCAAGTCCTGCTGGAGGCCATAGTTTTTAAAGATTAAGGTTTCTCCTGTAGCATTTAGCTGTCCTCAAATGAGCAGGGATCATTCAGATGCTGCAACAGAAGGGTCACTTTCTGTGAAACGTGCAGGTATCTTGACATGGAGATTAGTTGCTTTCTACTATTTAATAAATAATAATCTACATAATGAAGACATTAGCTTATTAACTTTTTTTTTTCTTTTGCAGTACATCAAGAATCACAAATCCCCACCTCTAACAATTGAGCAAGCGCTTGAAGAAATTCGGAGAGAGCCCAGGAGAAATTAAGTGCTTGGACAGTTATTGAACTTCAAGTGACATTTATATTCACAACTCTAAGGCTGAAACAAGAAACCTTTCCAAGTTGCACAGATAAAAGGTTATAAACTGTACTGGAAGAATTCATACAAACTGCTGGGTTAGTATAAATTAGTTAGTACAAGTTGCTAATTATTACAGATAATTTACTTTTCTATACCTGAATGTTTTACTTGTGTACACAATACAGGGATACACAGGAACCTTCAGCCAGACTATGTCAGCAAAAGAGACATCAAGATAACACTTCTGTCTAATGGACTGTGATAAGTCATCACAGTGCATCATTTATCCAGTGAATTGTGGGATCTGTGATCTCATCTATGATGGTGGGAGAAGTGAAAGTCTGTACAACAGCCCCTGAGAAATACAACCACAGCAGAAAATTACCATATCCTGACTTCAGTGCCATTGTCCAAACAGCATTTCTGTATAATCAGCCTTGTCAGATTACAACAAACCCAAACACAGGCTTGTGTGTGTTTATTGAGATAAATTCCAAACAAGGAAGGCTTATATAGCCGAGCTTCAGGAAATCTCAGCTGCATTTTTATTTTAAAAAAATTGTTTATTGGAAGGCAAAACAACAACATTCACAAGTTGGTAACATACAGGTGTTGTATGCTGATTCACAGACGGGTACAGTTCCACAACTACAGTAGATCTAGAACAAACTGATATTCCACCATACTAACTGAATGGCTTTAAGAGGGTTTTTGCTCTACAAACAAACAACTGGAAAAGGGAACTGCCACACAGACCTGGGGAGTGGAAGTGCAGTGTAAGGGCCTAACAGCTCTAGCTGGTGGTCTCTGGAAACAGTTACAAAAGATTTGTTTCATTTTTCATTTAGATTACAGCAAGTTTCCAAGAACATCTCATTGATAGAAACGTGTAGAGCAGAGAAACTGGATTCTCTTCTATTCAACTAATTAGCTTTTATTAAAGGGTATATATACAAAAATATAAAAAGCTCAAAGACTGTGTTCCATTACAAAGCATCACCCATCCCTCAGAGTGCTGGGAAAGCTACCAGAGAACTGAGCCTTGTGTCCTGCCCCGAGCGGCGGCTGCAGCAGCTGCTGGGCAGGGCCTGGAGGTGACTGGAAGGTTCTAAAAGCTTGCACAGTGCTCACAGGTCACCTGCACTGGAACTAGATGCTTCATTCCCCATTTAGACATTAGGATACACTGCTCAGCACCAGTCTGACTTGATCCCAAGGCAGCACCCCTCCACTTCAAATAGAATTAACCTTTTGAGAGAAATAAACATACATTATGGAACTAGAGAACATGCAACCACATCACATAATGTCTGTTTTCCACAGGAATGAACGAGGCACAGTCCTGCACCAGGAGCAGTTTGAGTGGGGTTTAATTCTACTATAAAATGGGGAACTAATGGGAAAGTTTTGCAAGAAAATTGGGAATTTTTAAACTTGCTAGACATGTCATAGTAACAACTGGCTGTTTTAAGCACTAATTGACAAGTATTGAAGTATATGTCATAGCTTTCAATTTTTCACCATAGTTTTAACATAATTTGTCACTTTGTCCAGACTTTAATCAGGATTTCTAAAAGTTTAATGTTTTGCAGAAGATGCAAGACATCTTTCTTCAGAGAGTCTTACTTGGATGGTGAAGGGTCTTGTGTTTCATGATTCACTGAAACAACAGGGAGAAGAGTTCTTACACATTCTGCAGTTTCCTAAGCTGTCTGCAGTGTTTGGTGGAATGAGGGTTCTGTTAATAAGGAATTTTTCCTTATGGGCTCTATTTGAACCCATTTGATTGCACTGATCCAGAGGCAGAAGTGACATTTCATTGAGCATGCCAGCTTTTTCCTTTTAGCTGTTGACAAGTGCCAATGTTCAATGTATCACAGACTCTCTGCACAAATCCATCATTTGGGGTAATTGTCTTTTTTCTGAACCCTTCCTGCACTACAGGGAATTTATTACAAAGTCTGGCTTTGGCAGAATGTGATACTAATGGTAGGAAATTCTGATTAGGGCAGGGTGAACAGTAAGCATGGCCTGACTTGGTTCCAACCACAAGCACCTCCCTGCTGTGGCAGCTGTCCCTTGTGTGGCACAGCTCCCCCTCCAGAACTTTGTGACTGCTTCAAGATTTTGGAGGGCAACATTCAAAGATGCAGGTGCTCAGTACTGCAGCCAGGAAGTGACTTACACAGAACACGCTTATTAATGAACATTTCAGAAATGAAAACACAACACAATGCCTAAAAAGAAAAACTTGCTGTGTTAATCAGAGTACACATCCACTTACCTGCTGTTTTACTGTATCAGTCACATTAGAAAAAAATAACAGCTACTGCTATTTTGATTTGGGTTTACAAAAATCACTTTCAAGTTCATAGAGGTTTCTAAATTGCTGAGAAACGTTCACTTACATTCATCCCTGGCCTTCATGCGTGCGATAAATGAGTAACTTTTATTTCTTCTGTAGTTTTCGTAAGGGTCGTCCAATGCAACTCCCACTCCTTTGTACTGATCCCATTTGTCTCGGATGTCACCTCCTTTAATTGGATCTTGAATTCCTTGCTCCTTGGCTCCCAATCCACCAGATCCACTCCATCCTGCAGCAAGGACACAACACTGCAATCCTTTCACTGCTTTTTTATGACTACAATTGTGAAGACAAACGCAGACATTTTGGCAACAACCAAAGACAGCATCAGTTTGATAAAGCAGGATGGAAACAGACAACCTGAAACAACACAGGAACTGTCCCATTTATTTCACAAGCATTAATATGCAGAGATTCTAGGAGCTGACAGCAGCTTTTTAGTATCCCTAAAAACTGTTAGGAGGGTAAGAAGAAAGGCAGTGCAAGTCCAATCTGTCCAGTCAACTCTGCTGAGCTGCACTGCAGGGAAATGAAATACTTTGGGTAGGGTCAGTTCTATCTGATGCCAAACTCACATCCCTGTCTTCTGTATCTTACATCTCTGAATATTCTTTTGCTGACCTTGGAATGCCAAGGAATAATTCCTTATGAACATGCATTAATGAATTACATCTAAGACTTCAGTGTCTAATTTTGTTTCCTGGCTTGTCTAAGATTCTAGAACAGCATCTTACCCATTTTCACTAGCATTTGATGGCCTTTATTTTCTTCTCCAAGTCTCGATTCTGGTATAGAAGGCCCAGAACTGGAGCCCAAACCAGCAGAAGAACTAAGAAAACAAGAACAACAAATTTAGAACCAGTGGTACTAGTCTGACACAAAACAGGGTCAGTTCTATTCCATTAAGCATTAACATCCAACACAATTCTATCCACTCTACTAAGCTATTCTTTACTACTAAGCTATTAACATCCAACACTACTAAGCTATTCTTTACTACAGCCATCAGATGATGCAGTTATTGAGGTGCCAGAAACACATCACCTGCTTCTCAGCACAAGGGAAATCAAACACTGTGCTCTTCCCAATGGAGCACACAGAGAATTACTCCTGCTGCCAAGGAAGGCATACACAGACTTCACATTCTGCAGTTTTCACTTCTGCATGCAGTTTTGTTAAAACAAAAAGCCACCACAATAGAGCGATATTCTCTCTACAACATTAGCAGATAAATTGTTTCTAGATCTGCTCTCCACCATCTTTTCTGCTCTTGGATGAAATGCTAATTATGCCCTGGTGAGGAGGCAGTGCCCCTGCAGGCTCTGTTCAAAGAGCCCAGGTAAAAGGGACAGGAGCAAGGCAGAGCTTACGGAGGAGTGGGGCTGCGAGAGCGGGAGCGGCGCCGCCTCCCTGGGGAGTAGGACTTGGAGCGAGACCGGGAGCGAGAGCGCGATCGGCTGTGCGAGGAGCGGGACCTGCTCCGGCTCCTGAAAGGGAGAGCACACGAGTTACAGAGCAACCCCCAGATCCTGGATCAGCCTCCAGGGCTGGGGGTTCCCACTCCCCCAGTTCCCAAGTTCAGCCCCCTGTGCCCCACCTGGACTGTGAGCGGGAATAGGATCGCGACCGAGAGCAGGAGCGAGAGCGGGATCTCGAGTAGGAGCCGGATGATTTTGAAGATCGCGAGTGAGACCGAGAAGATGAACGACCTCGGCTTTTGGAGCGACTGCGAGACCGAGACGGCCCACTGCAGGAATGAGGAGGGAAACTCCAGTGAGATTCCATGGAGAGGCACCAGGAACACAAATCTACTCCTGATCAAATTCAAATTACACACAAGCACCACTTCTGCACTGAAAGTGAAAGCTTGAGTGTGAGAAACTCTTCCACAGAATCACAAAGCGGTTTGGGTTGGAAGAGACCTTCAAGCTTATCCAGTTCCAACCACTGCCATTGGGCAGGGACTCTCCTCCTCAAGACCAGGTTGCTCCAAGCCCCATTTAACCTGGCCTTGGGCACTTCCAGGGATGTGGCACCCACAGCTGCTCTGGGCAACCTGTGCCATGTCCATTCTCTGCAGATTAGACAGAAATTCCTGCACATTGAAATTCATTATTTCATCAGCATGTTGCTGAACAACCTTTCCCTCTGCATTTAGCCCAAGCACCTTCCAGATGGACAGCACAGAGCAGAAGGTGGCACACAGGAGCTCTCACCTATTTCTCTTCTCTTGACCTTTCCTCCGCCTTGCTCTCATTTTAGCTCTGAAGAATTCATACAGTCCGTTCTGCTCCCATCCTTCACTGCAACAAATCAACCACACAGAACCCACACGTGTAAATTCCACTTCAGTTGCGACCTTAAGGATTTTCACAGGGTTTTGTACAGAAAAAAAGGTCTGGGAAAAACTGTCTCGCAAATCTCAGTATAAGATCAAACAGCAAGTGCAGCTGCAATACAACAAGAGCATCAGGAGAACCAAGACACAGGCAAAAGAGAGGGAGGCACTCTGTGATTTAAAGCACCTTCTTAAGAGCATCTTCCTTACCATTTTATTGGCTACACCTACTCTTACCTGTTTCTAGGCCTGTCATGAGATGGTGGACTATAAAATGCCTCAACTGCAGCCAGAAGTCTCTCACTGGGGGGCATTGGAGGTGGAAGACGTATATCTTTGGGATCTAAAGGTTTATACTCGTGATCTTCAAGCTGCCAGAAACAAAACAAATTACATTTGTGTCATGGGGTGGCTACCTGAAGAGTTAAATACAGATTTAGCTGTGTGGAGATCTCAAATTTCAATACTGGATAAAAAATCATCTGGAAATAAGGATTCTGTAGATGAACCAATGCTATCACTATTGTGAGTTCTCTGAGAAAAGCCTGCACTGCACAGGTTGAAGTATTAAGTGGTTCACCAGGCAGATGAAATGCAGATCTCATCCACCTTTGTGCTAATGTGTCTGGATGGAAGCCTGGCACAAACTGGTGTTCAAATACAGAATACATAAATGTAAGTATCCTTGAAGATGCTGACACAGGTATGTTTCCTGTTCTCTATCCTTCTTCATGTGTATATATATAACATTGATACTGTAAAACATCTTCAAGAGAATTCTGATGATGAAGAACTAATACAGTGGCCCCATCAGATCTGTGAGGTCTCTCTGGCCATCTGGAAATCACTGGGGGTTTCCATTTCCTACAAAGAGGAGTCAGACTTGTAAGTATAAATTATTCTTTCACACTGTGGGTTGGACCAGCTTCCTCTAGCACAAAACACATGGAAATTCCCACCATTTCCACTACCTAGTCCCCCAAACTACTCCTGCTCTTATACCCTAGACAACCGCTTGTGGGATGGAAGGATTTGAAATCATGCACATTGATGCTGAACTGTCCCTAATAACAACAACAGGGTTTGGATCTTTTCATCTCACCAGTGCCTTGCTTTGAATCAGTCCCAAACCAAGCACTTACTTTGACAAGTGGAGCCATCAGGCCAGCAGGAAGATCAAAGTAGGGAACGTTTGGCACCAGGCTGGGATCATCGTGGTTCATGTGAGGGGGCCCTTGGCGCCGCATGTGAGGGGGCTGCCCGTTAAATCCATGTGGGGGAGGCCCAAAATCTGGGTGCTGTGGCCCTCCCCAGGGGGGATGCTCGCTGATACCAGGATGAGGCAATCTGTGACCAGGATGATGATGAGGAGGTCCAATTTCTGCAGAGTGGGAGGGTTAAAATGTTTTATTTAGCTATCAAAGAAAGAAGGCAATCAGAGATGTACTTCAATTAGTGCATTTATCCTAAAACCCCATCTCAGCAGATCCAGCAAAGCACCAGAACTAAAGGACTGGAGGCTGGCTCAGGTCCACACTCATGCAGTGCATTTACCTCCCTGGCCACAGCAACCACTCTCTAGACAACAGGATAGTTCAGCCCCAAGCCACTGCTTCCTTTGGGACATACTGTGGTCAAAAGGACTCAAATCCATTGGTTTTCAACCATTTTTGGACTTGGAAAATTGAGAAACTTTTAGGATTAACGTAACAACTCCTACACGGAAACATAATCTATTTTCTAAATGACTTGTCACACAGAACCAGGGTGATCTTTGACCTTCACACTGACAAGGATCATTCCAGAGTAACAGTAACTCCTGCAGGTGAAATGGAAACTACCTCTGGCCAGGCAAGCTGCACCAGGTTACACTCCCACACATTCCCATGTTCCAACAAGAGAACAAACCCAATGAGGAGGAAGAACTGGAGGTAAGGATCGTTTCACCACACACTACCAAGCCACACAACATTAAATGCAGAAAAATAGAGAGCCTGGCAGTCAAAATAAAAAGAAAGAATAAATGAGTGTATGCACAGGAACAAATCCTTTCAGCCTTCCTCTTAACTTCCTCCATCTACACAGGTCACAGACCTCACCTATGGGCTGATGTGCAGGTGATTAAATTTACAAGAAAATGCTGCTTCTCACCTTTGAACTTACTACTTTTAAAGCAAAGTAGTCACAAAAGAGGTGCCTGTAGAGTTGCTGACTTGAATTTGGACTACAATTTCTTATTCGTTAGGAAAGACTCAAAAAGCAAGGAAGCATCCAGCTCTGCATGTGTTTCCTACTGAGTTCTTGGCAGTAGCTTCCCAAACTCCCAAACTAAGCATTTCTTAGGAAAATCACAACAGTCCACACCAAGGATAAACTGTCATCCCAAATCACTGAATCATTTTGTAATGGCAATCAGCATTCCAACAGAAGAAAACCTGGCCTGGTACACACTTTACCTTGAGGGAAATCCCCCTGGGGGTAATCAAAACGATGAGGATAAGGAGGCCTTTCAAAGGGATGGCGAGGTGGAAAATCATCCTGCATGAAGCGAGGTGGAAAGCGGTTGAAATTATGCGGATGCGGGGGCTGGTTGAATTGGGGATGTTGCTGATGTGGAGGAAATGGGCCTCTGAAGTGAGGTGGCCGCTGCATTCGAAATGGAGGTTCCCTCTGACCCCCACCCCATGGAGGCTGCTCATGCTGGTTGTTCCATGGTGCTTCAAACTGGTTGTTCCACGAAGGATCAGGCTGGTTGTTCCAAGGTGTCTCTCGCTGATTGTTCCAGCCCTGATCTCTCTGTTCGTTCCACATTCCTTCGTGGTTGTTATTCCAGGGAGGACAGTGAGGTGGTCCCTGGAGGTGAAGTACAGAAGCCTGGTCATTAGGTTACAAGAATGAAGAACACAGTAATGCACCTTCTTAAGGAAATACAGCCCATGCACAGGTGAAAGGACATTTCAAATACGAGTCTGAATCACTGCAACTTCAGAAAAAAAGATGGGAAAAGACCAAACTGTTACTGAACCAAACAGCTCTTGTTCATAGGAATAGTGTGATGGTTAACAAACTGAAATAGGATTATTAACATTTTGCCTTTAACTGCACTCAGAATGACAAAGCTTGGCATTGAAATCTGGATTTCTAACTTTCACAGCTTCCAACTTTCTGGCTTTTCACTGCACTTCCACAGCCAAGGTGGTCATTCCCAACCTCCACAACCAAGACAGTCATTCTAAAGCTCCACATCCATTTTCAGAACTGTTTCTTACCTGTTGTTGACCCCACGGTGCAACAGGGTGAGGTTGGTCAAACCAGGGTGGTTTATTTGGGGGAATCTGATCATGAGATCCAGGCCCACGTGGTCCACCTGAGGCAGGATCCTGCACTCCAGACCCGGTTGTGTCATACTCTGTAGAACCAGCCAGAGGCAGCTGAGATTTACCATCATCTGGAACAATTTAGAGACTATTGTCAGCATCAAAGTCACTTGCAGTTAATAAAACATCAGCACACCAGGCTCCAGATAATTTCCTTCTGCAGAAATCTAATTACTGGGAGACAGGATTTTTGATCCATTCAACACTCATCTCTTTGGTTCTTTTTATACTCAAGCATCTGCCTGCAAGGTTCTGAACAGATTCAAGCTTTTGCCTGAACCAAACCAGCAGTGCATTGTGCCTCATTATTAAAAAAGGAGTGGGAAAAAACAAACAAAAAAAAAGCCATAACATTGTCAGCCAGTGATTTTTGCACAGGTCTCAGGTCAGCTCAGTACCTGCTTGTGTGACTGGAACAGATGGTGGAGCTGAGGTTGGGGCTGCTGTGGGGGCTTGAGGTGGGGGTGTTGATTTCACCTCGTTCTCTAGTGGGGGTATTTGGATCTGTTGCTGCTGCTGCTGCTGTGTTAAACTGTTCACAAACTCCTCGTGTTGAGTCTTCAGGTTCTGAATCTGCTGTTGGAAAGCCACTTGCACAGGCTGCACAACCGTTGCATATTCAGTGATCAAATTTGCCTGGTAAAAGAAATGAAGAAGAACAAGTGAACACTGAACCTGTAACACCTACCTTATCCACTTGTTCTGAATTCTCTGTATTGCCCTTCATCTTCTCTCCAAAAAAACACCTGAGGATGCAGGATAATGGTGGCAGAACCACCCAGTGTCATTACAAAGGTTTGTGGATATTCCCAAAATATTCTCTGCAGGCTGAAACCCACCATCGTTAGTACTGCCTTTCCACTACAGCTCAAATCAACAGCATTCATTATTAATAATAAAAAGGAAAAGTTCCTGCTGCCACTACAATTTTTATATTCAATGTATCCAATTTCAAGCCATGTTTGTTTGTTTCCTTTTAACCAAACACTCCCTGCTATACAAGACAGTGTCAAATATGTACAGGACTGTATCAGTCTGTATCCTGTCTCCAGGGCCATATCAGCAGCTGGATTATTGAATGCTTGAAATTACAAGGTTATATTTTACATTATTTTTTGTAATCCCTTGTAAGCAACTTCAAGGGAGGGGAGGGGAGACAAAAATTAACATTATACTTTGAAAAGGAAAATAATTTTCAAAATATTTGCATAAATAAGAAAACTGGTATTTTTGTGGCTAACCTGGTACTGGCCAAGTCCAAGAGCTGGGCTTTGTAACTGCTGAATAATGGACTCATCAAAGTACCCATTTTTCTCCCATAGCTGAAGAAGCTGCATGAATAAGAGTGAAAGGAAATTATGAACAATCAAAGAAATACTGAGCCACAGCATTTCTATGTCTTCAGCTTTTCATAAGACCTAGGATTTTTCTATTTATTTTTGAATGACTAAAGATTCAGATGCATTCATCATTGTGATAACTCTTAAATAAAGCCTAAGGACTTTGAAGTTCTATTTTAAATGTGTACTAGAGCACCTCCTATAATAAACTTTATGAAGACAATCAGACTAGAAAAATCTCAGTCACCTTCTTGAACCTGCCTATTTGTGAATTTACATAGCACCAACTTAACAAAGCAAAAGTCACAGTTAAACCAAAACCAGATACTCACTCTGGCTATTTTCTGTTGCTTATCCTCCTCCACTGCTAGAAAACTGGTACAATAAATAGGCACAACCACCTTCTGTAAAGCAGCCAGAAGATCTCGTGCTTGCTTCCTCTGGCTTCAAGAAAGGAATGGGAAGAGTTAACTTTTTCACTGTAACACTAAGTGCATTGGAATATTCAATTCATCTCAACTTCTGCTATACTAAAAGTAGTGGAATCATGAAATAGAGAGTTCTCTCCCTAATGACTTTATTGTAAAATCTTGTCTGGAGAAAAAACACACAAAGTAGGTAAAATGGTTTTACTTAAATTTGATTACTAAACCACTATGGACATCTAAGGACAGCTGCTAAAAACAATTAATATGTTAAAATATGAAGTGACTAGTCAAACCAACACTGTATCTAGGAGAGAAACTGCATCAAATTAATCCAAACAGCAAACTGAAACCCAGCACTGAATTCTCACCAGTGATGCAGGACATCATTGATTAGGTAGATGAGGTGCAGGCGCAGCTCGAAGTGAGCGCCGTCCGCGGTTATCCGGTTCCGCAGGTGCCCGGCCATCAGCTCACAGTGTGCAGGAGACTTGGCATTACTGAACATCCAGTTCTTGCCAGCCTTAAAAAAGCAAAATTTAAAATATTTTAAGTCAGTCTAATGTGTTGCCACGATACAGGCTTCCTATAGCTCTGAAGTAACTGCAGGAAGGGGAGTTTTCAGGTAACAGCTTTCATCTTACCTGCCACACAACATAGATATAAAGCTGCTGTTAATGTACAGAGAATCTCAAAATTCAAACGAACCCACAGTGCCACCAAATCCCTGTGCAGATTCAGATCACTTACTGAGATTGCATCTTTTGTGCAAGTGTCAATTATTGGCTGCAACAAGTTGTCAAATTCATTCATATCTAACTGGGTTTCCTCCAAAACTTTTTGCATTTGTTGCTCGATTGCAAGGGCTACTGCTGATGTGACTTGTTCCTGAATAAATAAAAAAAAAAAACCAAAAAAACAGAAAGAATTACATTACAGCCAAAATTCTTTTAAAGAATGAAGCTGCTGTATCCTTATCCTCTTGGACCTAAGTGACAATCTTAAGGACCAAAGTCTTTTACAAGCACTGTGACTTCATGAAAATCTTTCAATTCTTTGGTTCTGAAAAGACTCTTCATATTTTTCTGGAGAAGTTCAGTTTACTTCTAAAATCTATCATGTAATAAAAAATAATTGCAAGAAGCTCTTAAACATAAGGAACATAACCAAGGCACAAGGAACTCTTCCGTTTGGTTTTCAGCAGCTTTAACAGTTAAATGTCTCCTGCAAAAATCAGCTAGCTGATAGCAGCACACAGTTCCCCTCCAAACTAAGTCAGAATACTACAAACTGGAACATCTTGCAGTTCCCAGCAACCTGCAGCATCAAACCCAGGTTAAAGCAGTCACAATTTATTCCACTCTATAACTAACAAGATTTTTCAAAGAGCAAATAGAAGGTTTTAATCATAGATCACTCATCCCATAGTAACATAACCCATATGCAATCATAACCCAACCTACACACCGGATACATCCATTCTAGGGGAACGATGGCATTTACCACACAACAAGAGTAAGGAAAGCAACATCCCCTCACCTCCAGCTCCACTCAGCAGCATACCATCCTTTCCCCCTTCACTCCTAATTCCTACAGCCACTGACAGGCCAGAATACACCAGATGAGTGCTCATCTCACACCAACCTGTCTCATAGCCAGGAGATGCTGCTCCTGCTGCTGCAGGTTCCACTGACTCTGCTGGATGAGCTCCTCCACAGACGGGGTGCCCTGAGGGGCTGGGATGGGTGCAGCCGGCGGGAGCGATGGCTGTGGCAGGGGCTGGATCTGTGCGGAAGCCTCGATATCTTGGCTTTGCTTGCACAACACTATCAGACAGAGTAAACTTTGAAAGTAAACCTCCCAGAGAAACCTGCTACCACCAGCCCACGGGTGAAAATGGCACCAGTTCCAAACAGAGCCTCGCTCTGAGGGGGTGAGAGGGGTCTCCAGAGCTGCTTGGACAATGCTCTGACACTTGGTGGGAATCTTGGGGCGTCCTGTGCAGGGCCAGGAGTTGGACTCGATGATCCTGATGGGTCCCTTCCAACTCAGCATATTCTATGATTCTACGGTTAACGCAAAATCACAGGTGGATGGTGCCAAAGAGGAGAGTCAGCAACTCCCTGTGCACTTCCAGAGGGACAACTCCAGGACAAGCCGAGTGAGTTCCGGCTCTCCAGGTGCCGAGCTCCGTCTCACCACGCTGCCCGTCCCTGCCGCTCCCCGCCTCCAAACCCACAACCGGGGCCGTGAGGAGCCGTGGGCAGCGCTGAGCCAACTACCGGGAACCCCGAGCGCAGGAAGAGGCTGCAAACCGGTCCCGGCGGAGCAGGACGAGACCAGAAGAGACAAAAGTGTCTCCGCCGGCCGACCCCGAGACCCCGCGGCCGGCGAGGGAGGGAGCCCCGAGCCGGCCCTGCCCGAGCCGCAGGCCCCACTCACGCTGCTGCTGCTCCAGGGCCAGCTTGTACTTGTAGTAGCCGTAGAAGTCGCCCCCGAAGAGAAAGGAGAATTTGGGGTTCTCCTTCTGCTTCTCCATCGTCATCTTCTCGAACTCGGGCCCGTTCCGCGCCACAAACTGCGCCAGCTTGTCGATGACATTCCGCAGCTCCTGGTCTGTGGGGAAGCAGCGCCGTCATGCCCCGCTCTCCCTCCCATTCCCGCGGTCGCCCCCCGTTCCCCCCGGAGCCCCCGATCGCCCCTCACCGTCGGGCGGCAGCGGCATCTCCATGGCCGCGGCTCCCCGGCCCGCTGGGCCGCGCCGCTCTGCCCGCCGAGCAGCTGCGACACCCGCGCGGCCGCGCTTTACGGCCCCGTCGCCGTGGAGACGGCGCGCGGCGCCGCTGACGCGGGGTCGGAAGTCGCGGTCGGAGCGGCGTGAGGGGGAGGGAATGATTAAATTAAAACAATTAAACAACGATTAAACAGGTTAAACAACAATTAAATAACGAGGGAACCGCTGAATGTTGGGGTTTGGCCGCTGTGAAAAGCGCATGTATTTTATGATTGGCTTTTCGCTAATATTGAAATGAATGGTATATGTGTTGTGTTAGAAAGTGATGCTGTATTAATTCCCTTAAGTACTGTGTTAAATATAGGTTTAGGTTATAAAAAATGTTCAAATAGAAATTATGCTATGTAGGATACTTTTTTTGAAGAAAGGACTCGCAGCGAGATAGCAGCCACAGGACACCTGAATCTTTCAGAGAAAAAGAATTTATTGCTCTCTTATTAGAAGAAACGAACTTCTTCCTGCCTTGAAGGTGCTGTCAGGATTCAGAGGAAGAAGTTGATGATGACCAAACAGAATCCTGTGTTTGAATGGAATTTATGCATCATGTATTAAGTGTATAAATATGTAACAGGCTGTTGTTTTTAAGGGTTATCCTTTGATAACGTGGGTCCTTTTTTGGGCTTATACTGCCCAGAAAAAGGTACCTGGACGTCCGTAACTCTTTGTCTCTATTGTCTCATATTGTCCTAATTTAATTTGTCCAAATTATTATTGTATTACTCTAATTGTATTACTATTTTTACAACCATTTAATTACTATTAAACTTTTAAAATTTTAAAAACAAGCGATTGGTGTTTTTCACAGGATCAATCCTGCCTCCTTTTCACTGAGTTGTTGTAATGAGTCATCAGCTTTTACCCAGCTTCAGTTCAGTTTCTTTTTCATTAATTTTTTGGTTGTTTTGATCCTGAACTTGCCAAACCCTTAAGTTTGCTAAATTAACCCTGAGAAGGTTCTACAAGCCAATGCTGAGGGGATTGGGGATTGCATAGTTAGGATCTTATGGCCCTTCAAGGGTTGGGTTCACCCCCTGATTTTGGTGCCGAGGGAAACTCCGAGTTAACACAGATCAAAATAGGAAACAATTCCCTCATCAAAGTGAGCTTTCCAAACCTCTGTTCAGGATCCAAAAGAAATGGGAATGCCCTTAGCAAAAAAAGGTGCTTTTGAGACAAAGCAAGCTTAAAATGCCTGTAAGCAGGAAATCCAGGAGAAATGGCTGCTGGCACCCTGGGCTTGCCAGGCAGGTTTTGTACTTGACTGCAAGGCAATTTTCCTGCCTCTGCATGGGGAGGCACCTGCATCCCACTGGAAAGGGGAGAGAAATAATTCCCCTCCTTCCCTGGCCCAGCCCTGGAGTGGGAGCAGCTTGCCCTTACCCTGGAGTTCTCCTGCTCCTGCCCAGCATCCCTCTGGTACCCTCATGTGCTTCCCAAGCCCCCAGCACTGATGGATCCAAACAAGGAGAACAATCCCTGCTCCTTCTCTTCTCCACCCTTGATGTTCCTGGGCCCTGCATCTCCCTGGCTATTCCCTGTCTGACTCCTCATCTCCATCCCACCTTCTCCTGGTCACATCTGAGCCTGAGATGTGTTTAGCAGCAAATCCATTCCTTTAAAGGAAGCCCACCTCAAAGAGCAACCAGCTGCAGGTAAGTTTCCAGCATTTCATTTTTCTCTGTCTGCAGGCTCTGTCTTCCAGCATTTCATTTTTCTCTGTCCAGTTTTGGAGGGTTTCCCTCTGTGTTTTCCTGTGACCCAGATGAGTCCCTTCCTTTGTCCAGATCCAGTGCCAAAGGATTGAACAACTGATGAGTGGGGTCTGGGATGAAAATGGTTCTGCTTAAATTAGAGAAAGAATGCTAGAAGAAAAATGAGCTTCCTTTGAATGTCTGAATAAAAACACTGGGAAAGGGCACTTTTTAATTCAATTTGGTGCCACCTCCCCCTTTTTTATGGCTAAAACTCCATGGTGAGCAATGCAAGCCAAAAGATGAAATGCAGGAGTCTTTGATTCTGCAGTGAGCTTAACTTCCCTTTTCTCCTCTCTTTCAGGACAGGGAGAACCACTGAACTCGTCCTGGCCTTGCCAAGGTGTTGGAGCTGCCAAACCCAAACTGGTCCTGATGATGGAGGACTTAAGAAATTACTCAATCCAACTAAATGCTTTAAAAAGGGAGATGGTTTGGTAATAAAAATATTTCTGCCTTAGACTGGGAAGAGTTAAACCCCCCAGTTCTGCAAAACAGCACAAGGATTTTTTAATTCTTTGCCCTTTTTTTCCCTTCCTTTGAATGGGTTTGTTTGTTTCCCCTTGGAGACTGCACACACAATAGGCAGATTTTCCAATTAAGCCATTTTTTCCCACTTTTAGTCTTCATTGGAGCCCAGGTGCCAATTGTTTGCTGCTTGGTTTCTGCCTTCCCTTTCCTGCCTACAGCTTAACCGCTTTCTCTCCTTCTTGCTTTTTGGCCATCACTGGTCATGCAGATGATGCTGATGCAGATGGCTGATAAATAATTATCAAACAGCTTGGGAATGGTCTGTGTCAGGTATCAGTAACATTAAAAAATGCAGTATATGGACCATCAAGCAATTAATTTAGCAACAGTTGGATAGTAACCAATCATCTTTCCTTTGAAGCCCTCTTCATAGCATATTTACTTATAAATGGAAAGCATTTGGTTTTTATTTTAAAAAATACTACAAATCACCAACAGCCAGCTTAAGTGAGCATGGAAGATGACAAAGACATTGTAATGTTTTTTCTTTTAAACCCCTCACAACCCCATCACGTACTGGGGAGGCAGCTCAGCGAGTTTCAGCCCACAGCTGCCATCCTGGGCTCATGGAGAGCAACCTCTCCAGCTGTCCCAGCCTCAGGAAAGCACAGAAGAGGGCTTTACACAGATCAGGGATTAAGCTAGACCCAGGCTGGGCTCAGCTCAGTCACCATGGCGCTGTTAGAAGCCTTAAACCCTTTTTCTATCAGATTGATTGTGGCTGTGGTGCAGCCACTGTGTTGCTGTCAATGTGCTCCCCTGCAGCCCAGCCTGGCATGGTGAGCAGGGCCTTGGGGTTCTACCTCATGTGTTAAACATCAAACCAGGAGATAAAACAACAGATAAAACCCCTGCCCTGCCATGTGCCTCACTCTGCACCACTGCTGTGAGAGGAGGGTGAAAGACCCAGTCAGTTTTAGCTCTGTAAAGCAGCTGCAGAGCAGTGATGAGTGCCTGAATCACATCCCCTGCAGCCATCAGGGGAGTGAGGGCAGGGAAAGGGGCAGAGAAAGGGAAATAAAAAACCAACAGAGCCACCAAGACTGGAAGATGTGAGGACGAATCCAAAACTGTGCTCTCCAAGAGCTGAAAGAACACATTTCTTAAAACAAGACATCCAAACTGGAATGAGGGACTCGCACTCTTTCCAGATCTTCCCAGCACCATAACCCATTATAAAAAAAGAAAAGCCATCTGTGGAAATGGGATGCTCCTTTAAGCCTTGCAGAGACTTTCTCCTGCACCACAAACCACCCTTCCTGTTGCTCTTCCTTCACCACTCAGGGCTGAGCCATGGAGACCTGCTTCTTTAGTGTGTGTGTGTGTGTGTGTTTGTGTGCATTTCAGGGTTTTTTTAAAACCAAGAAAAAAATCAATATCATATTTTAAAAAGAACCCCCAGAGCTTTGGGGCAAGTGGGCATAAATGTCAAACACAAAGAAAGACTGAGCTACTAAGGGATCACACTTAGAGCAGCAGTGGTGGGGTGGGAGGGAAGAAATATAGCAGACAAATGTAACACCATTTAGGAGGGTTTATACACAATGTTTTCATTGCAAGCAGCATTTAGAAGTGACAATTCAGTGATTTATCATATCCCAGCACACTCCTTCCCTGTCAAAGTGATAGGCAGAACCAGCAGAGCAGCTCTGAACACACTGTTCACTACAAGGCACCACCCACAAACCCAGAACAGCTCCACCCTTGGCCAGCCCTGTCCCCTTGGGCCTCTTGAGAAGCTGGGATTTAGGAGAAGGCCATGCAGGGGAACAGTGTTTCAAATGTCAAAGGATTTAAAAATATACAAGGCTATGAAAGCTGATGGGACCTGAAAGAATTGAAGGAGAAGGTGTCTTAGCACAGCATCTTTGGCCAGTGCAGCCAGATAATCCTCAGCTATCATTACTGGAGGATCTGGGAGTGAAGCCCAGCAGGAGATGCTGCAACATGAACTCCTGCCCCACACGAGAGGTTCCCAGAGACCAAAACCTCCGTGCAGAGCAGACAGGATCTGACCACAACACCTGCCTTGGGCCACACCTGCTCTTCATTTCTCATGAGCCACATAGAAATGTGGTGTATTTATGATCACTTCTCTCACCAGACCTGGCTGCAATCAGCACTGGATCCCAAAACTGAAGGAGAAGCCTTGTGTGGACAATTCCTCCTTCAAGGCTCAGCTCCAGTACCAGGCTCAAGACCTGGCATGCGCATGCATTTGGCAGGGAGTAGCAAATCAAGTGAAAGAACATTTCAGGGTTTTTTTCAGCTGATTGTTTAGGAATTTACTTGGAATAAGCTTCCTCCCCAAGAGGGATTTCAATTCTATACATGCACAAAGAGGAGAAAACATTAATGCAGCATTGAGACAGCTCCTTGCTGAGAGCAGTGGTTTTAAGTTTAAGGCCCTTGTATATCTGAAACCTCTGTGTTCAACCCTCTGGGATCATCACT